ATAGAAGATGTCATATCTATTCTACATAATATCTTAGTGGAGAGGTTCGTACCTAAAATATATTATAAGGATAAAGATGTAAAATTTCATTAAAACATAATTTGATTAAATAAATAAATGAATAATATACAAATATAGAGAGTGCTGTGTGTGCAACATACCCCCTACACTGATATTTCATGTGTCTAGTATTCCGTAAGCTTTTTCTCAGCTGAAAAGTGTTTCCATGGCCAAAAAAAAGTTTGGGAAACACTGGACTAGAGGGACATCAACTAATCAACACCATCAATTGATGGGCTACTCTTTGTGTGTAATGTTATAATGTCCCTATAGCTGAGAATTTGCAGTAGCAGGATTCAATCCTGTGACCCACAGATTTACAAGTCAAGTGCCCTTAACCACCAGGCCATACCAGGCCCTAAACATGGCATGAAAGGCAAGAAGTGTTATCACTTGCATCTTATCACTACAAGTTTTTCACAAAACTATGTGCTACTCAAAGTGAAGATAGGGGCTAGGGCCAAAAGTGTTATGTAAAAAAAATGTAACACTTAAAAATATGGTAATGAAAAAAAATCCCAACTTCTTTTGTAACAAACTTATAGTAACAATATTTCACACATAATAAAGCATAAACTTCAAAATTATTTTCTTGAGTTTTTCTTTCCACACATTCTTGTTAAAAAACAACTAACAAATCTTTTATTCGTTTCATAATGCATTAAATTAAGGCCTGATGTCCCTAAAAAATTCGACTAACATGTTGCACATTCCACTACTAATACATGAGAATAACATTTTAAATTTTACCAATGTTTGTTTAAAAAATAACCACTGTAATCAACTAAATTCTACTGTATTTTCTTTGTCGTATAAATATACATTTATGAATTATATCCCGACAAAATTAGTTACAAAAGCGCTAATTTATGTTTAGAGATCATAATATGTGGTATTACTTGTACGATTATTTTAATATATTTGCATTATTTTATCATTGTAAAATTCATTCTGTATTGTGTAAAAACCTGAGTTTGTTTTCGCAACTTGTAATCTTATAAAAATAACTTACTATACGCATTTTTCTAATGATATCAAAACGTAACTTTATTAAGCCTAATTTTCTTTCGAATGTTACATGTGTCATACGTTGGAGGCGGCCTTCGTTGACATAGATGCGCTCGTGCGCGCCGGACGTAACTAGTGGATAACACTGACCTATTAACCAGTAAGACAAATAATGCAATATTTACCTCAGACAGGAACGTTTGTGCTGCCTTCTGAGCTCCTACATGCAGTAGATATTCATAAACGTACAAGGCTAACCTGTGAAAAGTATAAACAAAAAGAAGAAATAAAAATCAACTGAACATTATAAACCTTCTTCCCCTACTTAGTCTCACATGGAACGTGCTATGCCATATGCCTCGGGCTCAGCTACTTACTGCCTGTTATTCTTTCATCAACGAATTTTGTTGTTCCAGTAGTTAAATTTAAAGTTTTACAAGAATACGTATAAAAACATGAAGGCAAATAATTTTAAGGAATAAACCCACATTTTAGGCCCGTGGACAAAAATTTCCATTTGAAGTACAAAGAGAAGCAAAAGTTTGAATAAAATCTGAAAGTAGGCCTAATCATTATATAACATATATTATTAATACAATATTAAAAATACTGTTAGCGTTACTCTGTGCAAGCTACACTTCTCAGTATTAGTTTTAGTTATCGTATTGCATAGTCTGTGAATTATTTAAAACTTAACTTTAAAAAACAGTCACCGTTTCTACTCATATTGTCTGCTATACTCGATGTTAAGTGATGTCCGTGAACAAAATCGTCTCAGCATCAAACTTACTTTTCTCTCGCTTGAGCATCGGATGGTACCGTTGAGCCTTTTCCTTTCGCGTACATGCTGTGAGGTTGAAGTGTCAGTCTGTCACGCACCTGTCAAGACACACACTACGACACCAACCTTGTTACCATAGAAACATCTATTGATCTGTCGCAGGCTACAACGTGATTGGACAGCCTAGTCCTCCTTCCTACGTCACGGCGTAGTGAAACTTGGAGGAGTCATTGGCGGTAGTCGCAGTAGTGTAAGAAAAGAGACCCTCTATACAAATAGTGTTACTCAATAGGCAAGTGTTTACCTTGGTACGAAAAAGACTTTTGAGCGTAGTGTTGAAATGAACACTTAAAGTATAATTACATTAAGAGAAAAAAAAAACAACACTGTTTTCAGAATATTTGGTCAGCCACCTGAACATTTTATTATTATTAATATATATTTTTGTCTTGTTTTATTTTACTAAATTTCAAAGCAAATTCCTAATGTGTAACAGGAAAAATCAAAAGAAATTATGGGTTTGAAAAATAAATAACAAGCAATTCTTATACACATGTTTATTTTGTTTTTATTATTTTTTAAAGTTTTCAGTGCTGACTGAAAAATAGAAACCATTTTCAATGAAGACGACAAACAACTTCAGATAGATGTGTTTTTTTAATCCTATCTAACGTTTCGGCTTAACTTCAGGGAGAATAAAAAACATTATTATATCTGAATTTGTTTGACGTCTTCATTGAAAATGTTTATTTTATTATTAAGCACAAACCAACACAGAGGGTTATAAGCCCTCATATTTACCTCCGAATCACCGGAGGCACGTGATATGTAATTGTGAAATACTAAGACAAAGAAACCGTCAAAAATGTTTCCAATATTCAAGAAATACATATAGCAGATATTCTAAAGTAAAAACAACGTTACTGTTCTCATGTGATTTGAATTTAATCTAGCTGATTGATACGGGTTCGAATCCCCGTCCCATCACACATGCTCGCCCTTTCAGCCATGAGGGCGTTATAATGTGACAGTAAATCGCACTATTTTTGGTAAAAGAGTAGCCGCCTTCCTTCTAGTCTTTCACTGCTCAGTTAGGGACGGCTAACGTAGATAGCCCTCGTGTAGCTTTGCGCGAAATTCCAAAAAAACAAACGAACAAACTGATTGACATATATATAATTAAATGTTAAACAATAATAGTTAAGAGTCTCTTTATACGAGGCATTTTTTGGTTCATTAAGAATATGGAGAAACCATGAGCATGTGTTACTTTTTTCAATATTAAGGGCAACATTATCCCTTTTCAGTGATACTTGTCCACCTTCTGAAGACCCCTAGTTCAGCCAGGGGCCTTACGCTATATATTTGTTAATTTGGCTTGACTAGAAATGTCTCACCGAAACTGCCAAGCTACATTCCCCCGAGGTTTGGGGGGGGGGACTATCGGCTCTCTCAAATGACAATCTTTATTTTAACCAAGTTATTATTCAGGCTGCAATCTCACTTCGGAATCAATAATTTCAGGTGGGTCAG